ACTATAATGAGTTTTATTTTTAATTTCATATATATGCGTTTAGAATTCGTAATTCGAATTTTTCGATTTGAGTGTAGATAAATTGTTTTTAATCAAAAATACTTAAAAAATCCACTTTGTCCCTGGCACTCAGAATAATACAATAGATGTTGTATAATAGCGATCTGTTCCAGACAACCTATCATGGGACAAAGTGGATTTTTAAACATTTTTCATTGAGAATGAATAAACTTTGTCGTTAATCGTAACATGTCTCGTTGCGTTGTAAAACTGTTTTAAAGTTGACATTTAGAGCCGAGACGGATGAGTCCGGATAATCGGGATTCGAATGTACATGATTAGACGCCATTTTCTCAAAATGTTGTCTATGTGGGTTGGAAAATGAGGAAGTATTTTAAAAAAAAAGCACTAAAAAAAGCACCTCCACTAGATGGCGACTCTAGCAAAAGTTGATTTCTGCAGGAAACGGATGGACCAAAGACATTCATTTCTGTTCCTTTTACCTTATTAAAAAAACTGAAATTGAAAAGTTCGAAACTTAGATATCAATACAAACACGAAAAAGTGCAAATAGAATATGAATTGTTTAATGAGTTTTGAAAACGTTTTGCGACATCTAGTTTGATTTCGGGAACTAATGTTTTTTTTTTTAAATACTTCTTCATTGTTTCATTCTTCTTCAGCGTCCATATGTGGAGCAAACTTTGAGTATAGTGACGTCAGATTTAGCATATCTCTCTTTCGCACAGTTTGAATTGCACCTACGAAGCGATATGGGACGTGGAGCGGCCGGACCTGTCCCATCAGCCGTCGCTATGTCGACTGTTGGACTCCGGTAACGTGGACCATTTCTATCCCGTGTTCAAGAACCAACGGTACACTGTGTACAGAGTCCACGATATGAGCGTGCAGTGAGTACAATTTCATACATCATCATCAGCCTTGTTAGGGGTCATCCATAAATTACGTCACACGATTTTTATGACTTTTTTGCCCCTTCCCCCGTTCTAGGCACATTTATAAGACTCCCCCTCCTAGTTTGATATCACATATTTTACAAGGTTTTTGTAAAGTAATAGTTTAAAGTTCGAGTTTTAACACTTAGAATATAATAGATTTTGAAATGTGACGTCACAAAATTTAAGAACCTCCCACCCCCTTGTCACACAATATCACACTTTGTCGACCCCCTCTCCCCCCTTTGGAACATTTTTGGAAAATATTTTTAATTGATAATTTACATCGATATACAACTGTAAAAAAATATCCAGCACCGAATAACTAACATTTTGTAACATTAATAAGTAATAGCTACGAGCAGTTTAAACACCGGAATTTTTGGCGCGCTCTTGTCGTGACGTCAAAGTACACGACTAGAGATATGACGTTTTAAATCAATATGGATTTTGAGTGGTTGATTATTATTCAATAACCGAAATCGATTAGCAACGAATCGATTTTTAAAGTGTAATAGACTTTTTTAATAACTCATATAGTTTACCAAATTAGTGAAATAAAAATAAAAACATAAAACATCATTTAAATTGAAATCTGTTGTTTATTTTGCGACTTAATACATTGATGTTATTGCATCGATGTTAACTTTTTGTAACAACGACATCCCTATACGTGTACATTTTCGTCACATCCCGTCTGACAAGTAGCATGGCGTTTGAATATTTTGAAGTTACCGCATTTTTTTGCACTTATCAATAATTATTTTCAAGACGAAAACGAACTAATGTTGAAAAATATCAACATGGACTTTATTCTAAAGCAATAATGATCGTAATAAAATATATTTAAGCCTTTTCTTAATCAAACGCATATTCCCTATTGGTGACTGAAGCAGTAATTTAAGTCACAGATTAGTTGTGTTGTATTATTCGGAGAACAAAGGATGACTTTTCTGTTTTTTTTTTTTATTAATCACAGATACATGCCTCGCAGTTTCGACACCTGACACATGCAGTCCGTCCCGCTCGCACGCGGTCCTCTCGCTCACACCCCCAACCACTAACTGCGACACTGCGCAGGTACTTACCGCGGTTTACAGATTTCTTCTTCTGTAAATTTTCTAGAATTTTTCATATTAGCAGATTATTGTATAGTAGATTGTTCTCAGATTTTCATTAGAAATTTCTGATATATTTTTTATAGAAAAATTCTTAAAAAGATATGTTGATGCATATTTGTCTCATATGTAGTTAACATGTGTATGTACTTATAAATATTATTTTAAATATGTTTAATCTAAATTTTATGTAAACATTATTGTTATTTGGAGTTACCTATAAGTATTTTCTTATTAACTCCCAAGTGCTATTGACGACAAAATACAAATCTAATTTTAATTAGTGCAATATAATTATATTTATTTGATTGCACTGTCAAAACTATGTAATTGCTTTACATTTGTTGTCCTTGTTCTATCAATACGAAAACGAAAGAGAGATACTGAGTTTTTAATATTATTTTTTTGTTCTCCTTTGGTTTATCTCTCATCCGGCACATCACATTCCATGTTACAATATTACATACGTATTATAAAGATTTTTGAGCTTTTAACATGCTCGAGGGCCTATTCTAGTTATCTTCGTACGAAAACTCGGAGAATTTCAAGTCGTTCTTATAATTTTGTTAAAATCATTTCACATTGTATTAGCATTTCGAAGAAATAGAATAGGCCTACAGGTGTCATGTTAATCACATTTAATTGAGTTCTGGCTAAAATTCGGTGCATACCGATGAACGAAATGTTTACTAAAACTTGTCACTCATCACCTCAAACAGTGACAGTCGTATTGTTAGATTGACACATCAAATAGTGACAGCGGTTCAGACTGCCACGCTTTATAGATGAGTTTTTTTATTATCTGTTATTTCAAATAGTGTCAACTTCGTTCGTCATCTCAAATACTGCCAGGCCTATTTTATATTTGAAAGTATATTTTTTCTAGCTAAGTATTATTAGATGACAATATTAAGTCTTATGTATTTTTATCTAAATGTGATATGCTATGATTGTGCGTGTGAAAGAGAAATCTAGTCATAAAAAATGAAATGCGAGCAATTTTTCTAACATTTGCAAAACCATTGTATTTTCCGTTACGGATAATAGACTAGACTTTAATATTTCTACCTCTTTCTTTTCTCTTTAAAATAATGCATTGAATTACCATGTTTCTGGTTGTATGTAGTTTTAATTTTTTTATAAGAAATTTGTGAATATGCTATATTATATATTATTGACCATAAAACTTTGATATATAAATATATATATTTTTATATACATCACAAATAAAATCATTGTTTTTATTAGAGATGAAACAAATATCCGGATGCTATCCGACCTTGTTTCAACTATCCATCTGGATACCGGATAGTACAATTCAACTCATAATTTTTCACAAGGCAAATCATTTTAAAGTTAACTATTTTTCTAATTACGACAATGGTGTACTTGTTGAATTACTCTTTAGGTGACATTATTAAAATAATGTTTCGAGACTGAGGTAAAAATAATCATTCTTGTAAATAAAAAACATGTATGTATTAATTGACGAGCTCCGCAGCCTTTTTTTTGTTGGGGTCAATGTAGAAAAATTAACTTTTCTAGATTGTCTCGTGTCTGGGTGCATTACTCCATAATACGAATGCTTTATCTTTAGGAATGGAATGCTCTACTCAATTTGGAATGTGAGCAATGTATGGGATTTTGTTTAATAATGTATTTTCTTTTAAGTATTAATAAAGGTTTTACAAAATTTCTTTGTATCATTGAAAATATTTAATTGCATTTAAGAATTGAGTGAAAACATTGTTTACTTTTCCAAGTTATGAATTATAATAGATAATTAATTATAGAGTACGATAAAATCCAAATTAGTATAGTATTATAGGATAATTAGATAATATTAATGTTTATAAATTGAATATATATTGCCATTCCTAATCGAATATGTCGAATAAAAAATGTATTGTAAATAAATAAGTGACTTCTTAGATGTGTTTTATTGATTCTAAAAATAAATATTATTGACGCAAGTTGTTAACTTAAAGTGATTACGGTATGTGTAATACAGGTAATGGTACAAACCACAACGTATTAGATTCAATTCAAAAATATAAATATTATAAAAAGAAAAGAAATACTTATTTATTGTTTTTCAACAATAATCGTTGTAAAATAAAACATTTATTCCGTTTTAAAATCAACATTACTTTTGCACAGTGAATAGAGTTGTCATGAACATTTTTTTTTATCATCAAAATTTTTGAAACTGATCTAATCATGATGTTGAAAACAAAACAAAATACAAAAACTATATAACCTAAACCCGTTTAATAATCTTATGCTACATTGACTGAAAATAAATCCTATAGTTTAAAATAGCAATTTTTGTACGTCAGGCTGGCAGCGCCAACCTGTTCAATTATGAATCGAACTAATCATTAAAAATAGTCCTTTATCAGTTCGTAACGGAATACGGACAAATGACCATGTTATGTAGTTTCGGAGCTGCACAAATGTTATTAGTGCTGCTGGGCTAATGTCAGTCTGGCAGCGTCACATGTCTCTGTATTTCTAATGAATTTCTTAGTTTACCTTATTTATCACTGTCGGCAATAAATGGTTAAAGTTAATACTTTAAGAGATAATTAAGAAATGATGTGGGCTGACGTCAGTCTGCCAGCGCCACGCTATATCTTTTTCATTATAGCACTTCAGAAGCTCATTCTTTTAAAATATCAAGTAATTTTAGCATGAGTTCATAAAACATGTGTAATTTATTTTGAGCCTTATTTTGATAAAATATTGGTAAAATAAGTATAAAAAAATATTTTTCTTCTCTTGATAATTTGCTATTGCTATGGGATTGTATAGTATTGTCCAGTATTTCGAGTTTCTGCCCTCTTATGTTTATCATGCTGGGCTACCGGCTTTGCTACCCCATAAATAAGAGGACAAAAGCAAAACCTCTGATTTGAGGTAAATGATTTATATGGACTGAAAATGCTATTATTATTAGATTAAAAAAAGCTCAAAAAGCTTTTCTGTTGTAATTTTCTGCCTGCCCCCTGGGCCTTTTGCTCTAGACTCTAGGCTAAATAGGCCTGTCTGCAAGAATGTGTAATGAATTCTTAATATAAACTTTATATTCTAGAAAATTTACACATAATTACTAGTTATAGGTTCACACAGTTCATATTTTTCAATACATTCTATTAGCCAACCAATAGGCAATGCTTTTAGATGCTGCATGTTATATGTTGGTTCATAAAAATCCTTAAATATTATATAATGGGAACACTTTGCTAACTTCCCATCCTTTTTAGCATGATACGGAATTAGTTTTTCAGATTCTGGTATAGACTCGGGATTTGGCACCCTACGGAGAACAATGCCACCTGCATCAGTTATCAACTTTGAAAGAATAGCCTTTGTAATTACAATATGTTTTGAAATTTCATATTTCATGTTGAAGTTATGTAAATAAAAGTGACATCCATCAAATATGCCAGGCAGCTGCTTGTATTTATTGTAACGAGCATTCCTGGGACCGTTAAACTCTTTTGCTCCAACTCCGATAACTTCAAATTTGTCAAATGTCTCCAGTTTCTCTTCAGTTGATTTAGTGACCCATTGGGTAGTCAAAATCCATATGCCACACACTATCCCTTGAAGGATATCTAAGGTTGAAGTGCAAAGTCCAGTATCTTCAGTGTCAACTATTAAATGTGTCACTTTTTTAGTGAATTTTGGTTCAATATTTAAATTACTGTGATATTTAGATAATAATTTCAATTTATTGTGTACAGTACGAAACTGAGACACACAAAACACTCTTATATCATCAAAATCTAATTGCGTTTGCAAGTTTGATACAAGGGTTATGTTAAAGGTTTGCGTTTGAATAATATTTTCAGAAGCAGTCAGTAATCTTTCCTTCATTTCGCCAATAGCAAGTTCCAAAGGAGTCTCTCCTTTACAATTCACAGCATATATATCAGCACCATTCTTAACCAATTCTTCTGCTATATCAATGTGACCATATCGTACAGCTTCATGTAGTGGAGTTTCGTTGCTTTGCCCAGGTACATTTATCAAAGTGTTATATTGTAAGAGCAACTTCACTAAATCTATTCTGCCATTTTGTACCACTTCATGTAATGGCGTCCAGCCAGCATTGTCTTTTGTGTTAGGGTTAGCACCCTGATTAAGTAGTTCTGTTATTTTATCAATTTTCCCAAGCCTACAGGATATGTGGAGCATTGTTTCACCTTTATTATTACGTTTTTCAGCTGCTTTATTAACTTTTGTACTGCTTGTTGTAGATAAAAGAGAATGATTCAAATCTAACCGTTTACCTTCATGATGTCTGTCTAAAGGCGGTTTTGGCACTGTCACTTCATTTTCATTATTAGATTTTGTGTCGACATTAGCTTTCCCCCGTTTTCTGTTAGTTTTCGCCGTTGTATCACTTTTAGTCGACTTAGTTTGTTTAGTTTTAAAACTTTCAAATATCTTGTCCAATTCTTTGGCAGATTCCACACAACTTTCAAGACGATCGTCTACATAAATCCTACAGCCTTCTAAGGAAACGTTACAAGTAGGACAGAAGTCTAGCTTTTCAAAATGCTCCGCACAAATCAAGTGAAAACATTTGCTTAAAGTGACAGGATTTTTGCACAGATCCAAGCAAACACCACAAACGTAATCTTGTTTGACTACTTCCAGAGCGTTAAGGAAGCTGGTCAAATCGGTAGAAGACATTTTTCAACATTAAAGATATTAATGCATCAAGTAAAAGTTTCTCGATCGCGGGAAAATTCAGAAAGGAAAATGAAAATAACATATATTTGACGTTTATCTTTTTGACATTGACAATGACTTAATGCTTTTTGACAGTGACAACCACAGTCAGAGAGCCCAGGAGCTAGGTTATACAGCCACAGTCATATAGAAACCAGTCATGTTTCAAGTTTCAAATAATAAAGATCATGACGCAAGGCGAATCGGGGTATAAGAGATGTCTGTCTAGGTTTTTTTATTCGATTGTTTTCATATTTTTTACATCTCATCCTAGCATCGGTACAACGATTGCAAGCTATTCAAGACAAGTGTCAAGGACAAGGCAGCATTTAATACGAGGCGTGTTCAAAAAATAGTGAGAATGACGTAATAATTGAGGGTACTTGAAAAAAAAAATTATGATAACGGAAAGATTAGGTCTTTGTTATAATACCCTCAAATAATTAGGTTTCTATCTTGTCTGTGTCAGTTGTATTCTTCATTTGTTTGTGACGCGTCGTCAAAATGGATAAATGAATGAAATTGAAATCCGTGCAGTAATAAAATACTTTTGCTTGAAAAATTTTACTACGGAACAAATTTTTAAAGATTTATGTGAGACGTTGGGGGAGTCTGCTCCTCCATATTCCACAGTGGCTCGGTGGTGTGCAGAGTTAAGTAGACGTGAGTAAACGTGGTAGAACATCGGTTAAAGATGAACCAGGCTCTTCAACGTCAACGTCAGTCACTCTTTTTTTTTTGCTCGATTCGTAACAATTAATGAAACATGGCTTCATTATGATCCAGAAACGAAAAAACAATCAATGTCCTGGAAAAGACCGACATCTCCCACACCAAAGAAATTCAGTTTTTTGGGACAGCCAGGGGTTGATAATGATTGAATACCTTGAACATGGAGCCACTATCACAGGAAAGGTCTACGCAGAACAAATAAAAAAATTACGTCAGGAAATCCTTAAAAACCGACGAGGAAAAGTCACGAAAAAAGTTTTGTTCCATTAAGACAATGCGCAGACCCACAAGTTTGCAGTTGCCATTGCAGCAATCCAAGATGCTGGCTCTGAGATCCTCGATCATCCGCCATATTCACCGGACTTAGCCCCTAGTGATTTCTACTTATTTCCGCATTTGAAAGAAACTGTGGGAAAAACACCCACAGTTTTGGAAGGATAATGTGAATTTGAAAGGCTGAACAGTGAAAAATGTGAAGAAAAAGTTATAGAGCCTGATGGCACATTGGTTAGTGCGTTCGGTCTGCCATGCTGAGAACAAGCAACTTTCAAAATGGCCGGTCATAAATGGCTGACTAAACATTTATTATCTCGAGTTCCTTCGGGGTTCGAGAGGCACATTAGCCACTGATCCGGCTGCATCTTCAATCGTTATCCACAATTCACAACGGGCCCTTGTTTTGGGTTATGGCCTGTAAACTAAGTATGTACTAATACTTAGGTAGGTCTAGTACTTTAAAAGCTTAAAATATGAGTATTGGAATCATTTCAATGGGATAAGGGGAATAAAATAATACAATAGTTTATAGTTGTGTACTAAAATATTTACTCGATTCTTAATATTCATTAATATTTATTTACAATATGATACTATCTACTTAAAATTAAGACTAGAGAAAGCAATAGCCAAACTGTTGGTTGTAATTTCGCGCCGAAGTTCGTGAGATCTGCCAGCTGACAGCTGTCAGTTGAGTTTGTCAAGCTGCGTTCAAAATTAAGTGGTATCTTATCGTAGGGATGATTTCGTAAAATATCATCGGTAGTCAATTTCCACGTATTATTATGAAATAGAACGCCCATTTGATGATTGAAAGATCCGTACATAGAAAACATAGCCGTGTGGAATGGGGGATTTTTACCGAATAACTGATCTAGTTTCGTGAAGACATTTATAATTTCTTGCCTCCTCATAGCTGTGACGTTCTTGTTGACGAATATGTGACCGAGATTCGACCAACTAATGAAACAGTATTTTGTGTTTTCTTCGGGACAAATCGGAAGTATTCTGATCGGTGTTTTAGCCCAGGCGTACTCCGTTAGTTTATTGGCTGTAACAATATATTTTCATATTACAAACTTGAAGATACTTTTTTTTCTCACCTACGTTGAGTTGCACAAACGTTCAGTAAGGTTTAGGTTAACGACTGTTCTAAATTTAGATATTTGTATGGGTAATAGCTTTACTCTAATGACAATTTTAATGTACGTTTGTGCAACTTGCTGTAAAAGGTACATCTAAAGCTATGTACATAATATTTTAATTTTATTCTTTTGTAAGTCTATAAAGTTTTGTTACTATATCATTATTTTGATATAATGATATAACCACATGATTATAGATCTTACTATAAGCTGCTGGATAAATTTTGAGGTAAACGTTCAAAATAAAATAGTTATTTATTTAAGTTAACCCTTAGGGAATCTTTGCTTTTACATTCCATAAGTTTAAAATGAGGAAGTGTTTAAAAAAAACGTTAGTTCCCGAAATCAAACTAGATGTCGCTACGGTACTTTCTTGATTTCTCCATGACAACCCTTCTGGTTTTGTTTCATGTTTAAAAGTAAATTAGTTTTCAAACTCATTAAACAATTCATATTCTATTAGTACTTTTTTGTATTTGTTTTGATCTAAGTTTCGAACTTTGCAAATTTTAGTTTTTTAATATGTTCTTTAAAAGGAACGGAAGTGACTAACGTTGGTCCATTCGTTTCCTGCAAAAATCAACTTTTGCTAGAGTCGCCATCTAGTGTAGGTGCTTTTTTGGTGCTTTCTTTTTATTTTTAAATACTTCCCCATTATAAGTGCATAATGTTCATATACCTGCATATAAATTATAAGTTTCCATTCTTATAAATGCGATATCGGTTTTGCCTTCGACGAGCGCTCGTAACGCTTGCATTTCGCCGCTCAACACTTTATCATTTTCTTTATAACAATTCTTAGTAAATAAATCTTTGGTTGCATCTGAAACATTCATTTTTTCAAAACCAGGCGCGCATATTTGGCTGAAATAATCCTTGATGCCGTTGCATGGAACTTCGTCTTTCTTCGTGATGTAGCGTAAAACGGAATGCCACGCGAAACCGTCGTATTCCGGGAAACTCGCGCGTTTCCCGCGCATATCCGCCATCTTGGTTATCCCAGACGATTCGGTGACGTACGCGACGACCGTGTGAGTTTGGTCCACTATTGGATTGGACTCGTGTAGAATTGGAGTAAGTGAATAGTCTCTGAAATGAAAATAATTTGATTGTGTTAAAGTTGAACAGTAGTTGAATTTATTATATTTCAGAGTCAATAATAAATAAGTATTTATTGATTAGGACCGATTTGACAGTAAAATAGTACCTCATTCCTTTGAGAAGCCAATCGCTGTCAGCTTGGACCACAAATTCTCCACGTTCAGCACCCTCCATGCAGCTCTACAATAAATATTTTTCAATGTATTAATTTATTTAATAAACTTTAGTAACCGTTGAATTGATACAATAGGCAGACTTAATGCTACAAGCATTTTCTACGAGTCAATAGTGCTGTCTTCCTCACACATCAATATACAAACCATTATTAATACAAAACCAGTCGAAAGTTAGTGGTTTCGGGTGGAGGCTCTATTAATGGGACTGTCGTTACCTCACATAACATGTGTGGTGGTGGCATAAATTAAACAGTTCGATATACCTAATGCACTTTTAGTTTTATTATAATCATCAGCGGGGTCCGATATATTGTTTCTTAAAAAAGATCAGTGCAAAGGTTATTGCAAACGACGCCTTAATGACAAGTGTTGGCGGTAAGAATGTTGCCAGAACTCAATCACAATTTTATAATAGGGACAATGAAACTCACCGGTAAATCTTGTCTTATAGCACACTGTAGAGGCGGAGATATACCGTATACGGCGCCAGCTTCACTCAACCATTCACACTTGTTCCTCTCCAAATTGGAAGTGGTGCATAATGTTATGTGTCTGTGGGAATTTTATTTTTTTTAAACATGGTATTTACTTGCAGTTGTAAAAGAGAGATGGCGATACCATGTGTGTCCGAAATGGAAACATTGAAACGGATCAAAGATATTAATTTTCGTTTCTGTACAAGTGATAAAATATTTGAATTGGTACTGGTTATAAAAAATACGAAGAGCTAAAGACGACTGTTACTTCCGGAAGAACTCAATTTACGTTTATTATATCAGAAAATAAATTGGAATGCATATCATTGACAATTTGTATACGAATGTCTTTTTTTTTAAATAAACATAAAAACACAGAATGTCCAAAATTCTATTTCGTCCCTTTTACAATGAGATTTGCGACCCATCACCCTGTTATTAGTATTTTATAAGTAGTAATTATTATTTATCATCAAAAAGTAAAGATCCAACAGCGGTATATCAGAGTTTATCCTCACCTCGGTGGATCGCATCCGCTCTGGCTGTACGCCTCCCTGAATCCCTTTGCCTTCGCCAGATAGTCCATCGGCACTGTAGGCGGCTGCAGCGGCTCCGGCTGTGCCTGATACACCTCCAATAACGCGGCGAGTGCGCCCCGCCAGTGCCGGTCCACAGGTACCGTGTTATTAGCGAGAGCTAGTGCTAGAGATGCTACTGCCACTGCAGCTTTCCTAAGAAAACAACGACCTGTATAAATCTTGTCCTAGGGCAGCCAAAAATCTCTACCATTATCTATGAAACACGCAAAAATCACGTTTGTTCTAAGGGAGCTCCCACCTTAAATACTTAGTAGTAATTCTGTTGCACAAACTAGACTAAGTTTAGTTTTAGTTCTGTTAAGCTGCGCTTTTAAGTGTGAAAATAACTGAAGTTAAATAGTAGAATAGGTACGGTAGTCTATTTCTTTGATTAATTTAAAACAACATGAAACCAGGGGACTAATTGTCTAACTTTAAAATCTTTCGGTTTGAAAGATGTTGTATAACCATTGCTTGTTTCTGAAGACAGTTGAAAAAAAAGTATTTGTATTATGCAGCAATGGTTGTGCAACACCTTTCAAACTGAAAGCGATTGCAATAGATTTAAAATTAGACAATCAGGGGGCTGACCCATATTGAAGTTAGATTTCTTTTAGTTTAGTTCAGAAAGTTGTATAACAGAATTGAAGGCAATGAAAAAGATATTTTGTAAGCAGCGAAAGAAAACGATACATACGCTATCGATAGATCTCGGTATTATCCCCACGTAGTACAATGTTATACGGGGTGAGGTCAGCGATCTATATCGTCCCGTTCATTAAAACGCACTATTATGCAAACGTTTTTGAAATATTATATTTACCATCACATCATAAGAAGTTGGGACGTGTGAGAGACACACTGTGAAAAACAATGAATATAAAACGCTATATGTAAAGTATTACTTGTATTTTGACGTATATCACGTTAGGCGCCAATATTTTAGTAAAAACTTAAACGATAATTATAAAATTAGTCAGCTTTAATTTAGTGAATTCGAGTAGACTCACCTTTTAGCGATAATAACTGGCCACGGTCGATGTAGCCATACACACGGTTCAGTGCCTTCAGTCAGCGACTGTGTACTGCCATCTCTACAGAGGTACGAGAACTGGTTCGGGTTGGGGTAAGCTCCATTACTTTTGTTACTCAGCTGAAATTGTAACCCGTTGAAACCGTTAAATTTGAATTTAAGGTAACACCACGTTGGGCGCCAATATTTTAGTAGTTGATTGATATTATTTGCAATAAATTAAGTAAAATATTAGTATAATTTGTAAATTTTAAAGTTCTTGACAATCTTAACTCACATTAAAATCTTCTAATAACTTCTCTATGATATGTTGTACTTGTCATTTTTTATTTTGTTTTTAATTAAGTAAATTTAAGGAAAGAAATTTCTACACAGTGTGCAATGTGACAGCTTTATGAATGAAGGTATTAGCGTATTATATTTATATTTATTAGAGAGCCGCTGTACTAATAACGACATTGATTATACAAAATTGTCTTTCTTTAATCTATTTAATTCTTAATGTTAAGTCCAAAATCGATGAAGTGTTTCTGGCAAACCAATATATTCAAAGCTAACTTACCCCGAAGTACGCTTTGACGTCATCAAGTTCAGTCCACGTGACGTCACCAGCTTCAACTAGACAGTTGAGAGCTCCAGTTTCACCTCGATAGGGGTCGGTTATTTTGCAATTAGAATGGCACGCAGCGCAAAGGGAAGAATATCGGCTTTCTGTGAACATAGTTAGTAAATAAATTCTATGTACCGGTATTTATTCAAAACTTCAGCGTTGAAAAGAATATTCGCCAGTCTCTCATAAGATATTCATCAATATCAATACAGGATGCATTTTTATTCGAAAATGGTCAAACGTAATGTTGCTGTACATGCGTGTATCAATGTCTTTTTTTAACAATTCCTTTTGAGGTTAAGTCTTTATGTTATGGCAGTTGGATGGCAGCACCCGAAGTGGATTTTTAAAGCATTTCTCATTAAGAATATTTTCCAGTATAGTACTGTGAATGTAAAACTGACCAAATATAATAATTTTAAAATTATTTAAATGGATCTTGACCTCTACATATCGTCAACCGTAATATGAATTAATGTAACCGCCAAATGGCTACTTTACAGGAGAGCCAAAAAATAAAATTGGAATTACAAAAACAGTTATAACTTTTTATGTACTAATCCGATTTAAATACTGTTTTAACTGTTTCTGTAAAATGTTTAGATCTATTAATATAAATAAACCATATGAAGCCTAGTTTTATAGTTTCCAAGATGACATGGTGGTTACGTCACTTTTTTCGAAAAAATATCGAGTTACCTTGATTTTTGTAGAAAAAAATATAAACAGCTTTAAAGTAACTCACATTGCATTTCTCCAAATTTAACGTATAGTACTAAAAATATAAAAATCGTTAACGTATATCACTCTATTTTTAGTGTATGGATATACGTTATAGTAGGATGATTCATGAATTTTCATTCCTATTCTCTTATGTTAAGGTCTAAAATAGAATAATCTTTACATTTACTGCTAGTTTGTGAAAAAGGGTTTCAGTATGAAAAAGCCACATTAGAAAAACAGTTTTATTGCTTTCAATTAATAACATCGTAATTATTTTTGAGATCAAAGTTACAAAACAAATCAGTCTCCGAATGCAATAATTATTAAGCACCTATTTGTTTCATTTTCCTTATTCAAATAGTACCTAAGTACTTACAATGCTATAAATTAAAAAAAATCTACTGAAAGATCAATCATTTTAGCTACGAATTAACCCCCTTACTTATAAACCTTGTTTAGCTTCAGCTTAACTTAGATATTGTTTAAAGTGATGCTGTGACTTTTATGTCAATATTGCTTTAACAGGACAGCATCACTTTTAAATACTGTTTAAGTTAAATAGGGTTTATTAGTAAGGGGTTCATGAATAACTACTACTTTCATAATAATTAATAAACGATTTTAAAAAAGTTAACAAACTAAACCAATTTAGGAAATCTAAAAAAAATATCGAAATAGCATTAGATTAGATTAGTAAAAGTTTAGTTTTAGATGTCCATAAACTAAAACTTTAATCTGAAGAAGCATAGTTTAGGCCAAATAAAAACATATTTTTTTTCATAAATTGGAAATAAACTGACGGCAATAGAATTATTCTAAATCTAAATTGAAAAATCGTGTGCAAGTAGACAAAGTTTTAGTAATGATATAAAGAGAAAACTTTTTCAATTAACAAGTATCGAAACATAATTATTCATGACAATAACAACAAAATAAAATAATCCAACATAATTGTTTTCATCAACAAAATAAGTACCTACTTTATCTTTGAAATGATTAATTATTTTTCTCTATTTTGCTTCACCACTTTTTTTCTTTTGTATTTGTTTAACGCTTCCCGTTCTCTTTCGTAATGTTATTTTTACTGCCTTTTCTTCCTTTTTCTCCTTTGCAGTCTTTTTCACCTTTAGTGCCTTTTCTTCCTTTTGCTCCTTTTTTTCAATTGCTGTGGGTTGTAAATCTGAATTTCTTAAATTACGACATTGTATTTTTGAGCACGAAACTCTTGTATCTAGCTTATCTGTTTTTTTATTTATCTTATTTGGTTTTTCAGTTTTTATACTATGTTCCTTAGTTTCTTCATCACTAGTCACGTTCTCTTCCTCCTCTTATTAAGTACCTATGTCATCTAAGAAATCAGTTTTCATAGTGTAGGGTAACTGTAAATAATCTTGAATATACTGTTTAGGTATAACTTCGTCATCGCACAATTTTTTTAGATCCATGTATTTTTCGTAGAAATTGGTAATCGTGCCCGGTACAGTTTCTGTAAATCATTATGAGTTTTATTATCGACCAAACTCCTTTCATTAGGCTCCAGTTTCTTTGCTGTTGTTCGTTTTCCTTTGCCCTTTCCCTTACCTGACGAAATTTTAGTTCCTTGACCCATGGGAAATCGGAAAGTTTCTGCGTCTTCTTTCATAGTGTATTTTATCTCATTATTTAAATCCGATTTTTAAAAGTAGCAATTCTAATATCTTTCATTCTAAAATTCAGTTTTTTACACATGACCTTTAAATTATTGATATTGTCATTCATTGAGTAGTTACGTTAAAAATATTTTCTTATTCTGCCCTTACAGTAAATTACAGTTTATCTATTTTTATAAATTGCATCATACGTCATAAAAGTTAATATAAATGAAAAAATCTACTTAAAATTTTATTAAGGTACTCGACATTTTTTTCAAGATATCAAGATTTTAAATACACCAATCGATAGAGCGGAAAATTTGCAGTCGAACTGTATATATAACTCAATATCGCCATTTTGGCGGTTACATTAATTCATATTACGGTTGACGATATAGTGTATACTCCATTCATTATAGCATTAGACAGAAGTTAAATAAGGTTCTTTTTGTGGTATACTTTGTGACAAAATATTAAAAAATCATGTTACTCTTAAAACTGACGGCTTATTTGCTACATATCCACTTAAATACCAGCTGTTACACTTAACAGTTGTCGTTAAAATTATCTTTTTAACAAAATTATAAGTATTTGACTAACTTAAATGATTTAATAACTTTTACAATAAAATGTTGAACACATTAAAGAACCTAGAGAAGCAGGGTTGGATAGTCTCGGCACGATTCTCATGTCACTATAACTCTACCAAATTCAAAACGTTGTTTATTCCCTTCAAACTTTTCGGTAGTACAGCTTTTTAATTTTGTCAGATTATGATGTATTCATAATAGTCAAAATACGTAATCTGGGATTCCCATTAATTGTGAATGTTATTGCCTTTCTTGTTGTTTTACCGTATTCCATGATTAATTTGTTATTGTATTATTGTTGTTTTCTTATAGTTTTGTTTTAGTTGTTATCTTTTTAAAGTTAAGTTTTGCGAAATATGGACGATTCCGGTGCAGAAGTGGAACCTGCCTAAGATCCCAGGTTACATCTCAGGAAATTCAACGTAAAACAAAAACAGCGTAAGAAATCGCAGATTTCTTTAAATATTTATCTTTTCTTGATTCCCATTGTGAGTAAGTTAAAAAATTAAAGTAAATTTGCTTAATTCTTTAAAGTTGTGCTACCTATCTATTCTACACTAATGTGTTAACAAGTATGCGAGTGTAGTGCTGCATTTGCTTATAGGTAATTCGCACCTTTACTCTAGTTACTTGTAAGATACAAACAGTAAAGAGAAGGAGTCACACTTACTCAGTTCATTATCTCTGTGCGCGTCCAATACCCAAGGGCCGGCCTTACAAGACTTGCCGAAGAAATCCGCGAGAGCCTTGATTTTGTTTTCAGCTAAGGACAACTTTGGCTCGCAAGACTTTGGGATGATCAGGGACTCTAGATACTAAAAAAATATAATTTCTTTAGGCTCGTTCTTTTAGCGTGATGCAGTCGCAGGTATCGAACTAGTATGCTGCAGCTTACGTGCAATTGTGTTTCAATTCAACAATTATACTACTAAATAACTATGTGAGTTATTTATTACAAAAGTTAGCGCCCAACATGTAACGTTTAATGCAACATTGAACATGATACATGTTGGGCGCCAACGAAACAATTTTTTTATAGATTTCAATTATTTAATTGAATGTCTAGAGAAGCAAATTAAGATACTGAATACCTTTGCGCTAAAGGTTTAAAAAAGTTGAACTACTGGACATCACCAAATTATAATACAGACGCCATCTATTGATAATCTAAATAAATAAAAACCATAAAATTAAACTTTACAAAATTTCATCGGTAAATATTAGTTATCCTATATCATTTTCTGGACTCATAACTATTTCTATATAAAAAAATCAAACTAAGTGATGGTCCGAAAGAAGAATAAACAGACTAACACACTTTCATTAATTCACTTGAACAATACTTACACCAGTAAGAGTATCGGAGAGAGACCTCAAGTCTTCCACGCCTCCTACACCGGGGTGGCACAACGTGGTGTTCTTCATAATGTTGTGGAGTGACGTCACACCTTCGGAGAGAATTCGTTTGTTGGCTACCGCTACTATGCTTCGTTCGAACGGCCCTAAAAGAAATTATTCGTTACTTCATTAATATAATAAATAACTAAGGGGGCGTAGTTTGGCGGTTACATGTAAGTGGCAGTTACATGTACGGTGTAACATATATGTGTTATATGTGTTACTGCCCAAGCCTATATGTTGGTAAATCTTAGGATTAACCAGTAAATCTTCATATTTACCAACATGAGTTGGTAAATAAGAATTTTATGAAAAGCATATGATTTTTCGGTATTTTACACGGATATTTTTTTATTGTCATTATTTTGATATCATTATCAGCTCTTTTACGTCCCCACTGCAGGGGCTAAGGCCTTCCTTATGGATGGTTAAGGAGGACATCCATGACCCTCCACGCTGGCCTAATGCGGATTGGAGGGTATTAACTGCACTTTAACTTTAACTTGGACTGCAAATGCAGCCGGGACTTATGGCTTAACGTGCCTTCCGAAGTACGTAGTAGCTCGAGATAATAATTTTTCGGTCACCCATCCCGTGACCGACCCTTGAGAAAGATGCTTAACGACAACGATCGCGGGCCGCGGCGCTTATCCACTATGCCATAATGTACCAATAAAAAATGTACGAATTTAATTACAATGACTTCTATTTATCAGATAATCATACAAACCTAACCTAACCAGGAGAAATACTTATTTCTTAGAAAAATACAACTCCGTGTTTTAGTTTGGACTTGTCTATAACATTTATCATGTCTTCCGGCACACGGTAAATGTCAATTACCTCAAGGTAAAACCTAAGATTCACCGAGAGCATAAAACATTGGTAAATCTTAGGATTTACAGGAAAATCTTAAGATTTACTGAACTAGGGAATTTTACAGTGACATATGAACATATAAACTTACTGGCTCTAGTGCGTAGCTCATTGGTGACAAGTACGTCTATGTTGGCCCACTGAGCCGCCACCAGGTCCTCAGGGCTGAACACTCCGAAATCCACTGTGCCTTTATTGATGCGTCTTAAACAGTCCAACCTAAGGGATCGCATTACGTAATAAATACCAAATATTTTAAACAAACAATAAATCATGTGCTAAGATGGGTTAAGTATATATTACCTAATCGGTGCTCAAGTTTTAATATTATCATTACTGTAAATTATAGATATATTAAAGGTTCTCGTCGTTATAAATGTCCTATAACATAGTAGATAATGAAGAAAAAAGTGACAATAAATATAATAAAACTTCATTGCCATAAATAGGTACGTCAAGAAAATTATTTAACACGATAATTAAACTAAGCCATGAAGAAAAACTACGAAGGTTTGTACACATGTGTTAGGGATTAAATTATATATAATATGCATTTAAACAAAATGGCAACAACTTGGTTAAAATATTATTAACAATATTAATTTTTATATTTTGATTAATTTTGCATTCACAATGCCATACTGAAAATTATTCTTTATACGAAATGCTTAAAAAATCCACTTGGTCCCTGGCACCCTGAGATGGGAATCGAACCCATGACCTTTCGCAATCCGGGCGACTGCTCTAACCACTGAGCTACCCAGGACCTAACAGGATTGTTACTTTTCGCTACTACAGAGCGTATTCTCATCAATGTTCAGGCGTCCACAAACAAAATTCTCATCTTTATCGAAAGTTCAATATTTGTAACAATATTTCTTTCGGCTGTTTGGGTAGATGCCTGAATGATGCTCCAGTGAAATTTGCTGTTAATCGTAAGACAGGACTAGGTATACATGACCCTCTTGTATACAAGGATCTTAAATTTATATGTATATGCCGGAAGTAAATGAAATAAATTTTAGCCAACATTACTGGGATTCCAAGTAGAACTCAAATTAGATACAATATATATCAGTTCTACATTGTCCTGACTGGGAGTCGAAACCGGGGCCTCGGAGATCTCGACTCTTTAAAAAGGTTGCAACCCGAAAATGAATAGAAAAAAAAAGAAATTGTGTCTTCAATTTAATCTAAAATGGTTTAGATAATAGGCGTTAAAATTGATGAGTGGTCGCCCGCTACGTCACAACTAAGTAGAAATTGTAAATCGACGTCACACGCCATTACAACTCCCTGTATCGCCATAATTTATTGATTATGTAAAAAACTGTTTAATATTCTCCGATATAATATAATATATCGGAGAATATTTCTCCGTTCTTCTAACACACTCTCACTTTCTACTCCTCTTTTTCATTCCGGCTTTATGTTCGACTCTTTTACCCTCCAAGCGACTGTGGAATAGACTCTCTGACCCCATCAGAAGATCTCCCAATAAATCTATTTTTAAACGTAAAGCTCATGCCTTTCTTATGAAAAATATGTGAAATTCATCATCAGTATTATGTATCTATATTTGTGCTATTGTGTGTATATATGTATATATATATATATATATATATATATATATATATATATATATAGTTTCTATTTCTATATTCTATGCATAGTTAATCTTTTATTAATGCCGCCATCGCGTTTATCGTTTTTCCTAAAGGTTGACTGGGAGAGAATGCCATTAGCATTAAGTTCGCCTTTTGTACCTTTTTTATTACGGGTCAATAAAGTTTAATAAATAAAGATATACTTGACATACAGACGAATAAAAATAATTCATCATCATTAAGTTGAGTCAAAATACCGCTATTGCGGTTTTTTATTTTAATTTTTGTTGAAGTTTATTGTTAATTCGATGTGTAAGATGTATTTTAGACTTCACGAAACTTACCTATCCGTACCCAAAACGCATTCTACTCCAGATTTCTCAGCGTCCAGCACAGGACAGTACTTAGAGGCGCGCTTGAATGCACCTCTACCCTCCACCACGCAGAGACGTACTGAAAACGGAAACATTTCGAATAAATAAATATATGTTGCTGAAATTATGACTATGTTTAAACGAATTAATTTCGATACTGATATTATAAAGTGGCAACATTTAATTGTTTGTTTGTTTGTTTACAACGAATAGGCTCCGAAACTGATGAGCCAATTTTAAAAAATCTTTCGCCTACGGGAAGCTATCTTAAGCGGTGGACTTAGACTATATTTTATCCCGAGAAACTGTAATTAAAGGCATGATAATAGGAGTAGAAGTTTGCTTAGGGAATTCAAACCTTATTTATTCATTGTAATTATATCCGTGTCACGGTATGAATAGATATCCAAATCAATTTTAAATTATTTAAGCTGTTTACACAGGAGTACATAATCTTAGTAATATTTATCTCGATTAACAGAGGGTCTACTCTGTTTGTCGACGAACGAAAATTACAAAAGTTTCGAATCGTTCTTACAATTTCTTTTTTAAATCATATGCGTCAATGTTGTCTGTGCATCAGATGCAGTGTCAGGGTCCTACCTCCGTTAGATTATTAATTATCGAAAAATGTATTCCTTTAGAGTATTAGGGTTTCGAAAATAGACGAATTTTCGTTTTCGGAGAAACAGAGTAGGCCTTCTGTTCTCTAGGAATCACGCGGGCTAAACCGCCGGCGGCAACCGCTCTCTTTAAGCTTTATTATTTAGTATGGTAAATCGAGTGAAATCTACAGCAATCCAAATAGATTAATATTTTATTTGAATTTCGAACGAACACTTTTAAGAAAGCAATCATTCCATAAAGTTTTTTATGGCAGGCAAAACTTGTGCATTCTGCTTCAATAAAGATTTTATTGAACGAATTAAAAAGTTGAACTTTTGAAGTAACATCGAATGAGCGTCATTAAATTATATAATATAATTTTTTAAACTATAACGTTTTAAAACAATCACTCTTTTATACCTTTTCGAGTAATCGATGACTAATAGTTTCGTACAACTTAGATTTTATTGAGGAAGAAAAGAACATATCGTTTTTATAGTTTTTATTGGTGCAAAAGGTTAGTTATATAAACAATAGATATTTTATGAAAGGTAATGTGACCTTCCCGACAAGTTGCATAAGAGACAGTGTTCTGTTTTTATTATAGTTTTTTCTGAGACAGCCGTAATCAATTTTTGATTATATTAGATAGAATATTTTTAAAAGAACTCTATACAAGTATAATTGTTTTAGACTTACCTAATGTATTTTGAAACATAAAATAAACCAAATCTGTACAAGAATACTATTACCTAATCCTGGATTCTGTGTAACCATGTAATTATGGGAGCAATGGGGAGTGTTGTTTTTATTATTATCCTATATTTCCTATATATTTTCATATAATAGCAAATATACCCTACTATAACTTCAAAAAAGATAAAATTATGTCAAATTCTATATTATATCGTGGGGTTAGCGATATTCGCATACGATTTTTATAAAAAAAAAATTATTCATATAAATACAAGTACCAAATTGAAATAGGTTAAATTTACTTTTGAAAATTAACGTAGACCAAAACACACCTTTCACGATAAAATATACTGTGTGTTATCGGAAGGTGATCTCAGAGGTCATAAAAACTGGCGATGTTTATTTATAATGAGTCGAATGTCGAGGAGGTGAAATACTGAACCTTGTGCTGTAGCGTTCGGTTTTCTCTACATACCCAGCAATGTATATAGTGTGAATATATAGATAGACTAGCTTTCCACCCGCGGCTTCGTCCGCGTGGAAATTCTTTAAGTTCATTTATCGCGATAAAAATATCCCATGTCCTTTCCACGGTCCTATATATCTGTGTACAAAATTTCATTAAAATTGGCTCAGTATTTTAGGTGTGGAAAATGAACAGACATACGGATAGATTTAGTTTCACGTGCATAATATTGGTTATGTCACGTGCATATTATTGCTTATATATCCTGCTGTTTAGATTATTTGAATCATTTCCTTCTAACATTTGTTCTATGATAGGTGTGAATAAATGGTTCTCCTACGCTGTGATCTTGGCCTAGTAAACTATAGCTTTGATATAATGGGAAAAATATTTGTTTGGTGTAAGTAGATATAGTAATTTATAATCTTCATTCAACAGTCGGATTGCGCAAAAGTCACTGTCAAATTTCTCCACTGGATATAAAACCTTAAGAGATTCAACGTAGAGTTCAAAATCAATTGAGAATATTATGTAGATATGTATTTTCTGTAAATCTATATAAAATTATCGATTAATTGTAATGAGAAAAATGTCACTGTGTACTTGATAGTGATGTGAGAGCCAATTTCATGGATGTCACCAATGCATAAGGTCTAGGTTCGATTACTGCGAGCTGCGTAACTCCTTAAGCTATAAATCTAGAAGACGTATCCTACGTTTCGTTAAAGGTTTCTTCTTCATTGCGATGTTATAGCGCTTTTTCGTTCCTTTTTACTACTATTGATGTGTACTTTAACAACGAAGACCGAATGATAAAAAATAAAGAAAATGGTTTTGATAGCAGTGTCTCCAATATAGTCATCCCTAAGGAGAATGAGCGGTTTTGGGTTATCTGCGGCCATTTATAAAATTAATGTCAAATAAAGGTAATTTAAGGAATAACTTTGGCTTTGGATGTTTTATTGGATTTCATTTAGTTTATTAATTGCTTAGAACGATATTTATTCGTTCTTGGTACATACCAAATCAAGCTAGCCCTTTATTATTATGCTGAGCATCTAGTACAGGGGTTGTATTAACATTAAGTTGTACCGAGGGCAACAAATGAGGCTTAGTGAGTATTTTGAGGAGCAAGATGTTTTGTTCCTACGAGGCCGAATAGGGTATTCTACTGTGTTCTAAATAATACTTGTAACTGTTTATTTTAATTAAAAAAGCCATAAAACAAATATTTCGGAAAAATAAACACGTTTTCTTGCTTTATACTTAAACTTTTAATGTGAAACCAACTTTATGTCTAATACAAATAAGGTTCAATTCCAAACCATTAAATTTTATTTTCTGTTCTGTGGTATTGCTATAAGATATTATATATAGTATTTCAATATCAATTACATATGTATATAAGTATTTAAATCTCATGGTTGTTTATTCTTTAGTAGCCGTATATTTTTGATCCTACGTCCTGGCTGGTAGAGAATGCCCTTGGCATTAAGTCCGCCTTTAGTTATTCTTTGCAATAAAGTTCTAAGCAATATTGAATTTAAATCTACAATTTAAAACTTTCTTATCACATTAAAGTGTCTAGTTAATCTGGTTACGTAGTAGCTAAAAATCCTTGACTTTAAGTGGTCCTAGCTATTTTATCAGATGATTTCTTTATTAATAGTTAGCTGTTTACCCGCGACTTCGATTGCGTTATCGGCGTATGATTATGTAGCTTCCCGCAGGTAAAATAATCAGTATTTCCAAAGTTTATAAAATAATCAGTATTTCCAAAGTTTAACCCCACAAATGATTTAAGTAAAATTTTACGTCTTAATATTTCTAATATAGATTTACAAATTAATTGTTTTATATGTAACTATGAAAACCAAATGGGTCGTAAATATGGTCGTAAATGTTTGTGGCTATTGCGTCAGCGCGACCTAGGTTAAAGTTTTATCCATATAACACTTACGTTCGGTTTTAGTGTTTCCCCGAGACAACACATTATTTCTTAAATCTTGTATGTCGACAGAGCAGCGTCATTACGGAATTCCCATTCGAGTATAACCAGTTATGTACAAGTTGATGTGCGAAAGGTTACAAGACCAATGTTATTTTCTTTATTCATTCTAAATTAAGTTTTCATTATGAATAATACAAAAGTTTTTGAAGAATCAATTATTGAAAAGTAATTATAACAATAATGTATAAAAAAATATTTATATTTTCTTTTATTAGAAAAACAGATAGTGATATTAAATCTTACACATAATACTGTAACGATAACTGGTTACGTATAAAAAAAATAATTTGTAACTCTTTAGTAATGTGAAAAAACTATACAAAAAGAAAAAGAAAACTATATAATACAATTATTTACTTTTTAAATAATAATTTTTTCTTTTTATTGTGATGGAACCGACTCTAGCCAAAAGTCTAATACGGCCTTTTTGAAAGCAGCTGAATTTGAACAGAAAATGTCCACATCCAAAAAGTCAGTCAGCCGATTGAAAGCTTTTTAAACTCAATTTTACAATTGAGAAGCTTCTGTGCCTGAATGAGATTTATACTTTAAACCTGAATCTCAGGCTCCAGCACTCCTCTCTCATTATACTGTCTTCACTTCTCAATATAAGTTTACAACATTTAATGGTAATAAATAAATCCATAATTGATCCATTTTAGTTTCAATAATTACAAATTATCAATTGATAAATATTAACCAAATAGTAATAATAAAAATGAATATCAACATAATTTGAGTTTGGGTACCTCTAAAGAAGGAGTGGATCTGAGTGAGTGTGCGAGAGGGAGTGTTATACTAAAATCCAAAGAATTTTAAATCGAACTACGACAATTAACTTCCACACCAATAATGACAAGAATAAAGTTAATCCAAATACAGCTACAGATGGTTTTTTATTTTAATCTACAATTTTAATAAAAATCTATAGTGGTTTCAAATTAGAGGTACATATTAACGTACTAGCTTTCGCCAGCGGCTTCGCCCTCGTGGTCCCTAGGGAAATGTTTAGTGGGATAAACAGTATCCTATTATCTAAATCAGCTAATACCCTATCTGTATACCATTTTTCATCAAAATCCGTTCATTAGTTTCGGCGTGATTGACTGACAAACATCCAAACAAAGAAACTTTCACATTTATAATATTAATAGGATTCTTATGATTTGTACCAGGGTTCGCTGATATATTTATAACTATTGATATATATCAATTGTCATTTATAATATTTATTGTTAGTTTGTTTATCGAGTTTCAGTAAATAACCAACTCCGTGACGCTGGCAACATTGGCTCGAAGT